TTTACTGGTTTTTATAAGGTTTAAAATATGGGTCAAGGTTTTATGTTTCTTGCATCATATATTACTGTCATATCAAAAATTGATTATTATTATTTTTTCTTTTTCAAGGTTCCTGGTGGTAATATGAGGGACTCCTTTTTGGTCAACGGTGTTGCGTTTAAAAAGACATTTTCATATGCTGGTTTTGAACAGCAGCCAAAGAAGTTTTTGAATCCCAAAATACTTCTGTTAAACATTGAGTTGGAACTAAAATCCGAGAAAGAAAATGCTGAGATAAGGTAGTTGTTTTTACTATCTTTTATTTGAATTATATTTTCATGTCAGTATTGACTCTACCTTTTGTACTAAATGCTACAGACTTTCCGATCCATCACAGTATCAATCAATTGTTGATGCGGAATGGAATATCATATATGACAAGTTGGATAAATGTGTGAAGAGTGGTGCAAAAGTTGTTCTTTCAAGGTTGGCTATTGGTGATTTAGCAACACAGGTGAGATTTTGCCTTGATTGTAAACACTGCATTTGTCTTTCTTTAAACATGTCTTTTTAACTATTCATAACTAACACAATCTTTATAAATCATTTTCCTTTTGGGGTTATGTTCCGACTAAATTGAGTTAATACATATTTTTGTATGTGAAAATAAGTTTTATCTGGTGACTATGAAAAGACCTATGACATTCACTCTGGCTACTTTGTTACCTGCTTGTATGAGTTCTTTTGTTGGGCCTTGTAAAAGGGTTATGTTGCCATATGCACGCTCTTACTTGACACTTCATAATTCAAACATATATTTCTTTCCAGCTCCAATGTTCTCTCCATTGATAGTTTTGCTTTTCCATGGAACTTTGAGGAGTGATTTTTGTCAATAACTATGACTTTTTTATCCTCAAGTTTTATTAACCTGAATGTGTGTTGCCAGTATTTTGCAGATAGAGATATTTTCTGTGCTGGTCGTGTAGCTGAGGAAGATCTTCACCGGGTGGCTGCGGCAACTGGTGGAACCGTACAAACATCTGTTAACAACATAATTGACGAGGTCTATATATACTTATGGAAATGCAGCCAACCCCGCCTCCCCCCCCCAACCAAAACACCCCAGTATAACCTTTCCAGCTTTTCAGTTCTTATTGAATCTTTTGAATTTAATTTTCTTCTTTGTTGTTTTAAAGGTTCTGGGAACATGTGAGGTTTTTGAGGAAAAGCAGGTTGGAAACGAAAGATTTAATATTTTCAGTGGTTGCCCATCAGGACGGACAGCTACTATAGTTCTTCGTGGCGGAGCTGATCAGGTTTTCATATTTTTTCTAGTGATGTTTATTAGCATATACTCCCTGTCCCATTAAAATTTTTCCCTTTCGTGTTTTAAAATTGTCCCATTTAAATTGTCTCTTTGAAAAAATCAACTTTTACCAGGCACATTTCCCTTTCTATTCTTTTTCTAGTTTCCCAATAAAATAAAATTTAACTTTTCTAGGATAAAATTGTCATTTTATTTTTTTACAACACCTTTCTTGCACAAACTTTTTTCTTCCTAAAACTACGTGAAAAGTCAACAATGGACAATGTAAATGGACGGAGGGAGTATTACTTTTTCATGCTGATGCAAGAGATTATATGCATTATTATTTTCAGTTCATTGAAGAAGCTGAGAGGAGTTTACATGATGCAATTATGATTGTTAGAAGAGCTTTGAAGAACTCTACTGTAGTTGCTGGAGGTGGTGCAATAGATGTATGTATTTACAATAACTAGTGAATTTTTAAGCATATTCGAAGACTATTTGTTCTCCATATGTGAAACTTGCCTTTGCTGGCAGATGGAGATAAGTCGATACTTGAGGCAGCATGCACGCACAATAGCTGGGAAATCTCAACTTTTTATCAACTCTTATGCAAAAGCACTTGAGGTAGGTGTTTCTGCCCTTTCTTTTATCTTCCGGTTTAGCCCAAATCATCACCCATCTTCCTTGGGAGATAGATTCTTCCAAGGCTGGGTCTTGGTCCTTGGAAATTGTGAATTTCACTTCCCTAGTTTTCTTCTAGGCTTTGGACTCGTCCATACTTAAAAGGAAAAAGTTGTTTTTTTAATTTCTTTATACGAAATAAGTCATTACCTGAGATGCATATACACATGTAGACATGCCACAACATTGATTTTATGCTAAAGTCTCGCTTCTTGATTTTTCTGAACCATTTGAATGGTCAGTATATTTTTCTTGAATACAGATATACAAATTTGAATTTGTTTTCTTGTCAAAGGTAGCCAGTCATGTAAATTATTACCAGAAAAGTGTATTTGATATATTCGTTGGAAGATTTTATATACACAGTTTATTGTCCTTGCTTGTGTATGCTTTTATTTGGAGACCATTGTATAATGCTTCCGTAGTATGACTTCCTCATGAATGTATGAAAAACTCTTTTATCATGAGAGCAATATATTTGGTAAGGTAGGATGTAACTTTGCTGTCTATCAAGATGAAACTTTTGCATTTAAACTATGGGGCAGATATTTGACATCCTGATGTTTCTTCTCATCTTCAGGTTATCCCTAGACAGCTTTGTGACAATGCTGGTTTTGATGCCACTGATGTGTTGAACAAATTAAGGCAGAAGCATGCACTTCCATCTGGTTTTGTTCTTTTCAATATTTTTTTATTCTAAATCTCTTTTAATCATTTTCTGGTATTGTTATCAGTGAAACATTCTCCTTCAATAGTTTGAGGTTCTGGGCAGGTGAGGGTGCACCTTATGGAGTGGACATCAACACTGGTGGAATAGCAGATTCATTTGCAAACTTTGTGTGGGAGCCATCAGTTGTAAAGGTGGCTTGATCAATTGCCAACTAACAATTGATTATATAATTCTGTACATTTTAGTTCCGTGCTAATCTTAACTTCATAAATTGTTCCTCTGGCATCTAAAATGTTTGTTGACAGATCAATGCCATCAATGCTGCAACTGAGGCTGCATGTCTTATTCTAAGTGTAGACGAGACTGTTAAAAATCCCAAGGTAGTGCATTGTTCCCTGTCTAGAAGTACATGCATGCTTTTTTATATTCCGTGGTTTGTCATTTGCTTGTTTGTGTTAACCTTGTATCTTTATATTGCTCAATTATTTTTGTATGAAAATGCTCCATAATTTCAGAGTTTGGTGTCTCTATGATATTCATAATCATTGTTGTCAAGGTGTAATGCTAGACAACAAAAGCTTCTCGGGAAATATCAATGTGTTATTGAAGCTCATCCTTGGCCATAAATTTTGTTAGCAAGACCTATTTGTGGTTGATGATCTTTCAAGTAGTTTGACGTGCTTATACTCTTAGTAGACAAAACGAGAAATTTCATGATAATTAAACATAGATGAATATACATTTAATTTTTTTGGTTCTGAAGTCTCTGGTGGGTTTCTGCTCAAAAATAGAGTAGAAAGGGCAAATAAGAGTTTTTTTTTTTTACTTATCTAGTTATTGTCTTTTTTGATCATCTGAAAATGTTATTAACGAAAATGTCCGTCGAGGAAACTTAGACTTTTAACTACATAATTTTGTTCTTGCTGGATATTGACGCCATAAATTCTACCTTAGTTAACCTATCTACCTACTTTAGTAGTGTTTTCATATTTGCGGAACTAGTTTTTGGCCTTGATGTGTTCTCTCATGCATTTGATGTGCTGTAAAGCTCCTTAATTGCTTTCGTGTGTTCAATTTTGCAGTCGGAGAGTGCACAAGGAGAGGCTGCTGCAAGTGCTATGGGTGGTAGAGGGCGTGGGGGTGGTTTCCCTGGCCGGGGACGAGGAATGAGGAGGCGATAGAGACGACCCCCTTTTGTTTTTGTTATCAAATTGTCTAAGATCAAGTTGATATCGCTTTTTGTTATTTCCTTTGCAATCAATGTTTGTGGTGTGGCTATTGGGATGTGGCATCGCTTGTGATTGAATGTTTAGCTTCTTTGTGAAACGTGGCTGCTGCTGCTTTGGTTTGAAGTAGAAAATGGAACTTGGTCCTTTAATCTTTTTCAAAGGAATTTTTGACATGAGTAAAATATAATCTCTAATTTTGAAATTTAAAGGAAATTTGAATAATTTTTTATTAATCTAACATGATTATAAGGGATAATATATGTTCTAAAAATTTTCACCCATTTGACAATGAATATTAAATTATCCTACAATCGGAGACTTCTAGAAGTAATGATCATTCCTTTAACTATTGAGGTAGTTTTATATTTTATATATTTTTTAAGTTGTATCAGATAATTTATCTATATTTTGCAGTTAATTTTAAATAAAATATTAAATATACTTTAAAATTAAAGGCTTAAGTACAAATAGGTACTTTTTTACTTTGGTTAACTATTTTTTTAGATAAATTAGATGCTTAAATTATTATAGTTAATTTTTATATATTTTTTATGTTGATACATTACATAAAATTAAGTATTTGTTTGATTAAAATATATTTTAGCGGCTTAAAGCAAAAAATGATATAGTTTAGGGACTTATTTTTACAAAAAAAAATAGTTGAGATACTTAAAGTGATTACATATAACAGTTTAAGAACTTAGTTTGACCAAAAAATAATTTAGATTTCTAGAGAAAAAATTGCCATAGTTTAAATATTTTTTTTAGTTGAAGCCAAAATTAAAAGTAATAATTAATTTTTTAATATTGAAGTTTGTATTTTTTTATTAAAAATATTAAACAAAATAATTTGAATGTAGTTATTATAGTATTATATATTAAGTCAACCAAAACGAGTTTCACATAATCACGACGACCCAACTAAGAAATGTAGAAGTTGGTGAATAACGGTCAAGTGGGAGCAAGCATTAATATCAAAATCAAGTCAAGTCCAGCACGAAAATGGATGGAATTTCACAAAACGATGACAATTACCCAGAAACCATTGAGTGCACGAGACAGGAAAAGAATGCCAATTGCTTTATAAATAGGCATCACCAAAGCTGAGGAGATCCCATCCCATCCCATTGCATTCTTAAACCAATTTCATAATGGCAAACACAAAGGGAAATAGACCCTCACTTCCCATCACCAACCTCGTTCTATTTCTCTTCATTTCTCTCTCAATTCTCCCCGACATCACCGTCGCCAGGTATCACCATCACCCATCCCTTCCAACACCACCGTCCCCTCCTTCGGTTCCACCGCCATCGCCACCAAAGAAACCAGAGGCCGAGACATACCAAGGAGGAGGCATGTATTATCTGCCTCCTAATCGCGTCTAGAAAATCCCCATACTGCTTCATGCTACTGGTTAGTGTCTTCCCCATTGGGACCTTCACTTACAACTTCGATTGTGTACGTAAGTAACGACACATCTTTCTGTTTCTCTGCTGCAGGAGTTTAACAACAATACAGTAAGCCTTATCAAATAAAACTGAAGCATGCATGCTGCTGCTTCGTCTTGGGCGCTTTGAAGGAATAAAATGGTTAATACCGTTGTTTGAACACGTTTTTCCTTACAACTCAGCATATGTTTATGGTTTAGTGTGGGAGTTTGAATTATAGTACGAGCATGTATTATATACCCGCGATCACGTAGCGTTTTAGTTGTTTTCATTTACGCAATAAAATGATGTTTTTCAACATTGCAGTACAATGAGTTTACTATCGTGAGAGATCATACAGTTCCACTTGCTTAAATATATGATGTTTTACAATATCGCAGTAAATTAATCATTTACAAACACATAAATTGAAGTCGAATTAATCAAAGAAATTTGGATGGAACTTTAAAAAACCCGATGAGACCAAGTAACCTACGTACCACTTTCCATTGACTTCAGAGACACGCACACACCATCCACTTAGAGAAGGCAGAAAATGAATGCCCCAGACTCACCAAGCTACATCAATAGGTTGTTCATACCTTAATTTACACGCAAGAGCCTACTTACGGGAGCTGAGGAGACCCCATTCTTTTCCAATTTCATAATCCAAAACACAAAAAATCTATAACTATTAACACAAAAACTAGTCACTTAAGATTACAAAAGCACCATAGAAGAAAAATATTATAAATATAACCTAAAAACTTGAACAAAACCATATGAAGAAAAAATAAATATTGATGAACAAAAGATGGATACAAATATATCTGATTGTATTGACAACAATAAACACCATCTTGATCAGTCGTGGTGATGTCAATCCAACTTTGAGAAAAAAGATAAACTAAAATAACAACCAAATGACCAAAAATATATCAACCAAATGACAAAAAATATATCATAAAATCAGAGGAAAACATGACATAAAAGCAAAAGAAAAGTATCATAAAGACACTGTAACCCCTTTACCCGACCTAGATGAAAGAGACAAGATCCAGAAGGTCCTAAGTTCTCCAAAAACTTACTAGAACATTATTTAAAATACGTTAAAAATTAACCCTCATATTTATTTATTTCAAATATTTTATGTAACCGAAATAAATAAATAATAATTAAAACGTGACTCAAACGTTTATCAAATTCAGAGTTTTAACTCCTAAAATCCAAAACAACATTTATGTCCAATGTCTCAAAAATATTTAAGCGTAACACATATTATAAAAATAAAATATTTATAAAATATGAAATACAAAACCAAGTAAAATGTCATACAATGAATATAATAAAATCTGAATAATGTCATAACTCTAAGTACCAGTTCTCCTAACCTGAATATCTGAAAGAGAGAAACTAAGGGGTATAAGCTAATAAGCTTAGTAGGTCTCTAAAGTGCAAACAAACACAAGTCATAATATAGTCCGAATCAACTAATATTAATTATATAGTTCGAATCAATCAGTGACAATCAAATATTTGAATGTTATACAAATGCTCATGCACTAGGGATGGCAACGGGCCGGGTATTGGTCCCCCGTCCCCGTTTAAAAAATTCATATCCGTCCCCGCTTAAAAAACCGCGGGGATTTAAACGGGGATCCCCATCGGGTAATCGGGGAAAATCGCGGGGAAACGGGTATCCCGTTTAGCATAAACGGTTATTTAAACGGGTATTGGGCCGGGTATATATATATATTTAAATTAAATATATAAATATTATATATATTTTTAAAATTAAATTAAATTAAATTTATTAATATTATATATATAATAATTATTTTTAATATTTATCGGGCAGGGTATCGGGCCACATAATCGGGTAATCAGGGCGGGGATTACCAAACTCGTCCCCGTCCCCGTTTAGCATAAACGGTTTTTTCCGTCCTCGTTTAATTCGATTTTCGGTTTTCCCCGTCGGATTTAGGTTTTTTTGCCATCCCTATCATGCACCCACCCATACTCCTGTCACATCATCTAAAGAATGGGTGGCCCAGAAATACACTATCTACAATCAAACCACACCGTATGAAGTGAAATTTGTCACTAAGGCAAAGTCAGAGGTCACTAAATTCGAAAGTAATATTCACCCCGTTGAGTGAATGCACTTAACTTCTCCTATCAAAATTCGTCCCAATACGACATACAAAATGACATACAATCTGATTTTCGATCCTATCTGAAGGTAAAAATATTTATAAAGTTCCACAGTCTTAATGTATAGCATATATTGTTAGGGTTACGGTTAGTTTACTGTGGTAGTTATTAGTTTAGTTTTGTAACGGTACGTGGTTATTTTGGTACTTTTTGATATTGTTTAAGCAGGTGCCTTGGTTGTATATAAATAGATGATGGTTGTGTTAATGGAAGATTGATTCAGAGGTTATATTTCATGAGATACATCTATATCGTATATGGTATCAGAGGTTTTCAACAATGGCAGAAAGTGTGTTGAAACTGCTCACGCATAAAACTATCTCCATTCGTCTTGATGACTCAAATTACTTCCTTTGGCGGCGGCAGGTTCTATTTGCATTGGAAAGCTTGGCCCTTTTCAATCATGTTTGTTCCTCCTTAGTACGAGGTTGAAGCAGGCATCGAGCAGTGGATCAATTCGAATTAGTGCCTACAATAAATATTTAATAATTAATAAATTATTCTAAACTTAACGATTGAACCAGACGTACTAAAGATTATCAGTTTACAATCAAGGTTAACACGATCAACTCGAATGGGTTCGAAATAAGTGGGCAACAGTGGCGGTAACCCGGTTTCCGATTCAGAGTTTCCTGTAAAACTTACAACGTCCTAATCAAATCCCACATCGTCAAAATTATTTTCGACTCGAACGGCCATCCGACAGCGGGTTTGGTTCGAATATAGCGATCTTCCAGATAGGAACATTTTGACTCTACAAAACTTCAACGGCAGCAGTCCCGAGGGTCGGTGGCCTCACGGCTGGCCACAAGAACCCATGCTACCAATCGGCGGCAGCAGTACAAAACAGGCCTGACGAGAGCCTCCCCGGTGTGCCTCTAGCCATCTTGGCCTACCCCATGTGAGCTCCGATCTCGCAGTAGCCATAAACGACCGATTACATGCGGCGACGACGTTTTTTTAGCGAATCAAGCTCGCGATTTCAACACAAAACAACCCCCGACGACGGCAGCAACGACAGGGTTGCGACGAGACCTTATAAGGAGACCGAAGGTCTTACCTTGATGCTCGGAAGGTGCTGCAATGAAAAATAAAGGTGACGGCGGCGCGATTAGGATTTATGCAAGATGGGAAGAAGTTGGGGAAGGAGAAGCCGCACGGGATTTGAAAGAAACAAAACTAGGATTGTTTGATAAATAAAATTTGTTTAATTACCACGACATTTATCAAACTCTTTCTAGAATTTTGGAAAATGGTTCTGAACTTTCGAAACTTGCAATTTAGTCACTATTATCAATTTAAAAAATTAGGTCAAAATTTATCAAATTCTAGGGTTTTTTTGATTTGGAGTTATTTCGGGGTGTTACAGGCACACTTATTTGATATAAAAATAAAAATATCAACAACGACACTGATATAAAGATTGGTGTCGCCCTCAATCAACCAAGAATAAATAAATAGACAAATAACTTTAGAGTTTTGGAAAGATAGACGGTTAATTATTAAGTTACTGCATGATGTGGTATTTAAATTTAACAAATATTAAACATAATAACACATTAGCATTGTAATCACCATTTTTACCTTGATCCAGCTGGTTCCCTACTCCAATTAACACCTGCAGCAACCCTTCCAGGTTGCAAATTCCAATTTCACATTCCATCATCTTCTACCCACAAAAGCAGCCCCTCCACATTTTAGCAAGCAAAAGCAGCCCTTCCACACGTACCAACAACAACCACACATGCAAGGAGCAAGGAAAAATCATCTTTGATTCTTTTTTTGTAAACTAGGGCTATAAAAACCCCATAACAATATGTAAAATAAACAGAAAAAAATCAAGAGAAATAGAGGAGGAATCAAGAGCAAATACACATCAAATTGAAAAGAAAAAAAACACCACAAAGGTTATTTTTACATTTGGTTTTATTTTTTCAACTTTATATTTTATTTTTATTTATTTTCGAAAAAAAAATAAGTTAAATAAAAAAAAAGAGAAGAGTTGGAAGCTTTGAAGGTATTATGCGTATGAGGAAGAGAGGAAGAAGATGGGTTTTAAGTTTATAAAAATTTTGGGTAAATAAGGCATGGGGTCCTTGGTTTTGGGGAGTATTGTTTTATTCACTTAAAATAGGGAAAATCATGAAATAATCCCTCTAATTTATGTGCATATTTACACTTTAGTTCCTAATTTCTCTATTTTTATTATTATTTCAAAATTAGGTGCTATATTTTCATTTTTTTATTTTAATCTCTATGTTTTACTTTATTATATATAATCCCTTAATTATTTTTTTACATGAATATATATATATATATATATATATATATAATTCATTATGATATTCCGATTAATTAATTATGGTTAAACCACATTATTAATACTTATATTTTATAATATTTCGAATTATATTATCATATTCTTATTAATATTTATTTATTTTTAAATATTAAGAAAATGGATGTCTTAAAGCAACTAGATGTCATTTTATGATATTTTTAAATAAATAAATATCTACTTTTATAAATTATATATATTAATTTTATTTTATTATTTTTTTGGGAAATGTTTTATTAATATTTATTTATTTTTTAATATTAATAAAGGGGCTATCTTAAAGCAACTAGATGTCATTTTCTGATATTTCTAAGTAAATAAATATCTTATTTATAAAAATTTAAAAAATTATATATTTATTAAAAATATAAAAATTAATATATTTTCTTGAAATTATACTAATAAATTTGAAATAACAGGATTATGAATTAAATATATTTTTGAGTTCTTAAATTTCTAATAATAGAGACAATTTATAATTAATGTGTACCAATTTTGGGCATTATAGGGGTGCTAATCCTTCCCTAAACGTAACCGACCACGAATCCTTTTTTATTACTAAAAATTTATTGGTTATACGTAGACTAGTTTATATTTTAAATTATGTTTTCTTAAAAACTCTTTTAAAAGATTGTTTTTAGGTATTTGACCTACGTAACCCAAAAAGGTCGATGGCGAGTCCTAAAACATTTTTAAAATAAAAATCATTTATTTATTCATTTTACTTCTCCCGCCAAGTAAAAATTCGTACCCGGGCCAAAAGCGGT